GATGGAGTGCAAAGGTTGGATTATTCATGAATAACGAATAGGTGGGACTATTTTAAGAAGACCGCTAAAAGGTTGGATTATTAGTTTCCATTTTCCCTTTAAAAAAATGGTTGTGAAGGAGGTTACGTTGGAGTAAAGGACTTCCTTATTTTCTTTGTTATTTAACTATTTGCCCTTATTTGAGTTTTTATTGTGATTTGTATACATTCCATCTGGAAAGCATACATGCCACATATATACTCTTTATTATTAGCAAAAATATGCTCTTAACTATTCACTCTAAATTGTGCAAACCACTACAAGTTTATGGAATCTGTATATGTTACTCCATCCGTCCCGCAATAAACTTCACACTTTGACTTCACACAGATTAAGAAATTAAATTTGACTTTACTGTGGAGTGCACTGTTTTGCACTGTTCAAACACAGTTTGACACTGTTTTGACACTGTTTGACACTGTTTTGATGTAGATAATTTGCCAAATAAGGAAAGTTTTGAAATGTGAAGTTAATTTCGGAACTGCCCAAAAAGGAAAGTGTGAAGTTTATTGCGGGGCGGAGGGAGTATGTCCTTTTCTATCCAAATAAAAACATAAAAAGAAACATATATATTCATGTAGCAAATCGGTGAGTCATAGGTTCAAGTCTGCAATACTTATTCTTTTATTCCATTATTGGATTGACTATTTGATTGTATCAAGAGGACAAAGTGAATGAAGGTGATAATGAAAACACTACCCAGACATTTGACAAGTTAAAAAAAAGACCATAAAACAAATCCTGCTGAGATAATGCAATCCTGCTAAAAGACATGGATTAAATTCTTACGAATAAAAGACATTTTGTAATAAATCAAAAGACCTCATAAAACAACAAAACCAAAAGTAATTCAATTCACTTGCATAACATATCAGATTCAGAACAGAAAAAAAAATATCATGAAGAACAAAATAAATTGAAATTTGAACAAAGAAGCTTCGAAAAGTAAAAATAGGAACAGTCCGTAGCAGCTTTCATCAGATTATTGCTAAATAATGGTGGAGAAAATCGTTAACCTCAACAACTCGACGCGATTCTTTTTGAGGAGCGGCCGAGTGATGACTTAACGAAGCGCCCAAGTAACAGTCGAACCTGCGAGCAACTTCTTCCGTTCGAATGTTGAGGACTTGGATTCTTTGTCCGTAGAGTAGCGACTGAAATATAAAGGGATATTATCCGAAATAGTACTAAAAAGATTTGAAAATTCCAAAATAGGACTAACATGTTTTTATTCCCAAAATAGGACTAATTACTGTCATGTTTTGGCAGTACCAGACTTCATACCTGGCAGTATTTTCCAAACTTGGCAGTAATTATTCCTATTTTGGGAATAAAAAACATGTCAGTCCTATTTTGGAATTTTCAAACTGTTTTAGTCCCATTTCGGGAACTTTCCCTTTATATTTGGGATATTACCCAAAATAGGACTAAAAAGGTTTCAAAATTCCAAAATAGGACTGACATGTTTTTATTCCCAAAATAGGACTAATTACTGCCATGTTTTGGCAGTACCAGACTTCAAACATGGCAGTATTTTCCAAACTTGGCAGTAATTACTCCTATTTTGGGAATAAAAAACATGGCAGTCCTATTTTGGAATTTTCAAACTGTTTTAGTCCTATTTCGGGAACTTTCCCTTAAAATGTGGTCGTTAATAACACATGTATTGCCACCATGTTTCATGTCGGTCGCAAATTGTTCGTCGCTAAAAGTCAATTTTCTTGTAGTCAGGGCCGGTCCTGGCAATTTTTGGGCCCGGGACAAAACTCGGAAAAAGGCCCACCATCACTAATTTCACTAACATTATCAAAACATTTGTTAACTTAATCAACATCCAAATATATTAACAAATCTATTAAGAAAATGAAAGACACAATCTGGAGATTATTGCAACACTCACAAAAGGAATCTCAAAATACGTAGTATATCGATACCAAAACTTGCAATACTTAAATATTTAATCCCCTGCAAAAAAGTGTAAAAGTATTACCAAACACACTTCATACTAATATAATACACGTTCTAACAATCAAGTGGAAACAATTAACCAACGCATGTGTAATGTATTAGTATTAGTCAGTGGCTCACTGCTACTGACTATTTAAGCATCCCTTCTAAATTCTACGGTGCTACTCCCTCCGTCCCGTTGGAATGTTCCCAGTTTGACCTACACACATATTAAGGAAATAAACTTAACAGGGAGTAAATTTTACTGTTTTGACACTGTTTGGACACTGTTTGGATACTGTTTTGCACTGTTTGACACTGTTTTGATGTAGGATAACTTTCCTAGGGGAAATGAGAACTTCTTTTTGGGACATCCAAAAAAGGAAAGCGGGAACATTCCAACAGGACGGAGGGAGTATATTAAAACCAACTTACCTGGTTAAACGGTGTATAGTTTTACTCGATTGAATTATTCAAACACCCTTCTAATTCACATTTTAAAAGCTAAAGCAAGTGCATTTACTTGTGCAGTTATGGTTCACACTTCTCGACCCTCTGAAGCTTGATTCAATCGATTAGGGAAGACCTGAGAGCTGAAAAGCAGTGAGTAGTAGAATAGCCAAGTCGCCAAAAAACTTCGCCGTCAAAGTGAGCAGTCCCAAGTGCCGATTAGCCAAGGGCACTGAACTGCCAAAGTGACCATCGATTGTAGCAGCAGAACAAATACAAAGTGGGACTGTAATCGCAGATGCGGTATCAATTTCAAAGTGGGACTGTGGGATCTTTCGACTTCCTTGCTAATTAATTCTAATTTCGACTCCCGTGCTTAATGAAGGTAGAACGCCAATCGCCAGGGGAATCCAAGCAGATGGGCATACAATATTACGTAGTAAAAAACACAAAAAAAAAAACACGGAGTAATATACGTAGTATAAACTTGCACACATATAAATTTATGGGCCCTTATGGCCTGGTGGGCCCTGGGCAATAGCCCGGGCTGCCCCTATACCAGGACCGGTTTTTTGTGTATGTTCCTCATCAAGTCTAGTTCATCCATACCAAATTTCAACAAAACATTCAATCGGGAAGGTCGTCAAATGATTTTTGCAAGTTAACTGGTCCGGAATACATACACAAATAATTTGAGCAAAAAATACGACCGGGAAAGCCCCCAAATGGAGGAGGCCGGACGGGGCTCCGTTCAGGAAATTCCTGACCGGAATATTTGTGTATATATACATCCATATAGGAAAAAGATCTTGTCCATCCGAATATACAGGATCCTTCGTCCGGCCGAGGCCATCAGAGGCCCTTCCCGGTGGAGTTTTTTGATGAAATTTTTTGAGCATGTTCTTCATGAAGTCTAGTTTATCCATACCAAATTTCAGCTAAAATTTCAACCTGGAAAGCACTCAAATGAGTTTTGGAAGATGACTGCGTTTTATATGTATATAAAGTGCGCAGTTAACTTCCTAAATTCATTTGACTGCCTTCCCGATTGAATTTTTATCTGAAATTTGGTGTGGATAAACTAGACCTCATGAAGAACATGCTCAAAAAATTTCACCGGGAAGGACTCCAAATGGCGACGGCCGGACGGTGGGTCCTGTCCCTCCGGCTGAACAGGATCATTACTACATACATATATATATACATATATGTGTGTGTATCTATATTTACTCACTATCTCACTTTTAAAACTCATATATATATATATATATATATATATATATATATAACATTATATTTATGATAAATATTTTTAGTCATTACTTGTTATTATTCTGATATAATATGTATTAATTCATTAACCATGACTAGAACATATATATACAATTATGTATATTGACGTGCACTTTGTCGTAGTGTGCACTCAAAATAAATATCAATACAACACTTATACGTAGTATTAGCGTTGTAAGGTTCGTATCCACAGGGAAAGGAATACTTCTCTTTTTAATTAAATAGTAACAAGGGGTTTTTAGATGTGTTTGATTTTAATTAATTAAATACGAAGATGAACGACTTATATGAGTTTAAATAAAAGAGATGAAGACTTGGCTTTGTTTTATCCACTTAATGAAATGTTCGTCGATCCCGGTTATATCTTTGACTATCTTCCTCTCGAATACTCAATCGAGGAGTATATCCAATTCATCGAGGGTAGTTATTAATAACGAGACGCGTTCATTAATAAAACTTACTACCGAGTCAATATAGAACACGCGCCGTATATTAACCCGATAGTAGCAATAAAATCAAGATGCAAACGATTGAGATTGATAACCTCAACACAAGTGGTTTATTGGTTTAATAAATATAATTAATTCTCCTTCGGTTATTAACCATGAGACGCATGCAAAAATAATCCAACTTTACTGCCGTGAAAGGACCGAATTAATAACAAGCGTATTAGTCGATCGACTAATAATTAATATATGAAACAAAACTAGTTGATCCATTAAGTAGTGCTCAAAATATTAATATGAAATAGGAATAGGAATTAATTAATATTCAAGGAAGAAGATTAAAGAAAATAACTCACAACTTACAATTCATTAAGCTTCAAAGTAGCAAAACCAAGATGGAAGAGTTTAGCTCCTCATTTGGAGACTAAACATGAAGAAAATATAAAGAAAGAACTTATCTAGACTGAGCTTAGAAGTGTATAGGAATTGGTGGTTTTTTGTGGGAAGGAAAGGGATGTATTTATAGGAAAATGGAGCATGCACGGGTGTGCACCCGATCGGGTATAGGAGGCTCCCGATCGGGTACACTCAAAAGCTTCCCAGAAGCTAAAATCGTCATGCATACCCGACCGGGTGTGTCGGCTACCCGATCGGGTATGACACTCGAACATGGCCAAAATCTTCCTCGCATGTTGCTTGGTTCCCGGGTTGATCCGATTTGATTTTTCAGCAAGGTACCCGATCGGGTATAGGTCATACCCGACCGGGTACAACACAAAAATCAAAATCTTCATTTTGTCTTTAGATTTTTGCACCTTTCTTCCACTTGTGATGTTCACCAATGGTCCCTAAAATATTCTTGGACCTGTTTGAGCTCAGAATAAACCTAATCCAAACAAATTACAAATATTTTACAAACTAAACTATTACACCAAAAGTGTGTAATTTCCAAAGTAACAATCAATCTAAACTAATTAAAAACACAAACATAAACATGGAAATTACATGAATGTCATATATGTATATGTACATGTATATGTATTCGTAATATGTGTTCGTTATATACTACACATAACTTAATTAAATATGTTTGTACATTATTTATATGTGTGTGTGTGTTTGAGTATAAGAAAATGTGTTTGAGTATATATTTATAATGGGGACGGGGCGGGTATAGCGATCCCTGCCCCCCGCTCCATGTTTTAACGGGGTAGAAATATCTCACCCATCCCCGCCCCCCGCCCCACCCCGAGCCCCGCCCCATCCTTCCCCCGAGGGGCGGTTCCCCACGGGTCCCCACCCCCATCACCATCCTTACCCAAGTGGAGTCACCGAGGAACAAATTAAGTTAAAGGCTTTTGTTTTCTCCCTCAAAGACACCGCAAAAGATTGACTATTCTATCTTCCCTCGGGAATTATAGATACATGGGCGGCAATGAAGAAATGCTTCCTAGAAAGGTACTACCCCACCTTCGTCTCATCATCTCTAAACAAACAAATAAGCAAAATTGAACAAAAAGAGGATGAGACGTTGTATGAATATTGGGAACGTTGCAAAAAGTTGTGTAATAGTTGTCCATACCATGGATACACGGAGCAAGACCCCATTCTCTACTTTATGATGATCTTGCAGACCAAGATAGATGTGTGGTGAATGCGGCGTGTGGAGGGGGGATTGTTAACAAGACCCAATCTCAAGCAAGGAATCTCATCTCGGAGTTGGTCGAGAACTCTAGACACTACAATGGGGGTTCCATAACCCGAAAGGTTGCCGCAATAGAGTCCAACACATCGTTGGAAAGTTAAGTTGTCGGCTTGACTTCTTTAGTGAAAGTTTTTCTCTTAAATCCCTAAACTCAAGAAGTTAAAGTCTACGGCATTTGTGCAGCACAAGGGCGTCCTACGGATTCTTGCCCTTCACTACAAGAAGAGAACTCCGAACAAGTCAACGCCTTGGGGTTCCAATCACATAAGAAGTATGAACCCTACTCGGATACATACAATCCAGGGTGGAGAGATCACCCAAAGTTAAGGTATGGAAATTCTCAACAACAAAATTCTTCTCCCCAACAATTTAAACAATCTTCTTTCAACCCGCAAAACTCAAACGCCTAATCTAGTATGTCAACGGAGGACATATTCCGATCTTTAGCAACAAACATGTTTTCCATGCAACAAAACATCGGGCAATTTCAACAAACAATGATGTAATTACAACAAGAGATTCGGGTAGACTCCCTTTCCAAGCGGAGCAAAACCCAAGACAACATGTCAATGCAATCATGTTGAGGAGCGGCAAAGAGTTGCAAGCAAGGGAAGTTGAAGATGATGAGGTTGACCACAACGAGGAGGAACCAATAAAGACCAAATTCCCTCCACTTTCATCATATGAACCACTCCCTCCATTCCCTGAGGCGCTGAAAGACACAAGGAAGCTGGAGAATGATCGGGACATCTACGAGACTGTAATTCCATCGTCTGATTGTGAGGTAAATATTCCACTCTTCAAATTAATTAAAAGTGTTCCTCGTTATGCATATTTTTTAAAAGAATTATGCACAATAAAAAGGAAAAACAAATCGAAGGGGAAATAAAATGTTGAGGTTAGTGAACGTGTCTCGGTCATCTTTGAAAAGAAACTTCCCAAGAAATATAGCGACCCAGGCATGTTCAATATTCCTTGGAAAATAGGGAACACCATATTTTCTAAGGCCTTGTTGGATTTAGGAACATAAAAAATGTCATTTCTTATTCCTTGTATAAATCCTTACAACCCGGCCCACTATATCAAACTGGTGTAGTAATTCAACTAGTGGATCAGTCTAATACTTACCCAAAAGGTGTAGTAGAAGTGCAAAATTTGGTTTTCCCTGTTAATTTTTATATTCTTAAAATGGGAGATGATAACCAAACAACACCCATCCTTTTGGGTAGACCTTTCTTGAAAACCGCCAAAATAAAAAATGATGTGTCTAGTGGTTCATTAACAATAGAATTTGATGACAAAAAAGTAGAATTTAATATCTTTGATTCTACGAAAAAACAAATTAAAGATCAATCTCTTTGTCCATTAAATGTTTTTTGAACCACCAACACTAAATGTTTTTGGTAACAAGGAAGCTGAAAAAATCTCAATTTTTAAAGAAATAGAAATTGAACCAAAAAAATCTATTTTGAAAGGAGGAGTTCGGCCTTAACGGAAAAGGCCGAGGAATAAAAATGAAATGTCGCCAAACAAGGGCTTTGAAAATGAAAAAGGGATGTTCATGATCCCAATTAAAACAGAAAATAAAATAAAAATAACGCCGTGTCACGACATTAAATAAGGCGCTTCTTGGGAGTCTACCCAAGTTTTGTATTTTGTTTATTGTTATTTTATTTAATTGTTGTGAGATCCATTTAAAAAATTAGCAGGCTTGGGGAATATACCCGGCCCAGTATTACAACAAACCCGGTCGGGTACAAGGTAAAAATACACTACCCGCGAGCGAAACCCAATCGGGGAGGGAGAAACTTTTAAAAAAATAAAGAGTACCCCGGTCGGGTATATTCATAAAACCCGACCGGGTATTATCACAAAAGGGCAACTGCCACCCCTGGAGAGTAAAATCCAACCGGGTGACACATCCTAGTCGCCCGGGTAAAAGAAAAAAATATTCGTCTCAGGCCGCTGGGATGTAAAATCTGACCTGGTACACACACCCATCCGGCCGGACAAAAATTGTAAATAAAAGGTAAAAAAAATAACTAATACCCGATCGGGTAAATGTCTATACCCGACCGGGTAAACACTGGGAAAAAAAATAGCTAATGGAATTGATACTCGATCGGGTATAGTACCTTACCTGGTCGGGTAAACGGGATTTCACAGCAAATTTCAATCCCAACCAGTCGCACATCACTTCATCTCCCCCAAGACTCGCACCCAAAACCTCCAAACCTCCATAGCCATAACTTTCTCTCATCCAATACTCCCTTAAACCTCCACCAAAACCCTCCAAATCACCACCAAAATCTTCCCCTCATCATCCTCTACAACTTAAGCCCCATAAAACCCATCTCCTCCTCCAAAAGTAAAAAATAAAAATTGAAAACCCTACCCAAACTCACAAAGTGCGAATTTTAAGCTCCAAGTCTGAATTCTCAAACAACATCTCAAGGACGGCCGCCTCTTCATCAATAACACCTCCACCCTCCGGTCTCCGGGATTGAAGAGCTCACTTTCACATCCGCCGCTCATCGGGCCATGTTTGTAGCCCAAAGTCAAAGGAAGGTACACCCATCTCGACTCTTTTGCCTTGAGACGTTACGTGCTCTAGGTATTTATTACATGCTACTTGAGTTGTGTGAAATATTGAATATCAATAAACTTTTTGAGATGAGGTACAACTCAAATGAACAAATAATTTATGAATTCGTGGGCTCGTGGAGCACATTGTTGATGGAATTGATTCAAATGATGACAAACTCATGTTCCGTTTGTTTAACGAAGAAAAATCCATAACTAAAAGTGAGTTTGCCAAGCATTTTGGGTTACCCATGATAGAAGAATATGAGGAGGAGGAGGAGGAGGAGACACACATTGATGCCTCTCTTGAGCATGAACTTTGGAAAAGAATGACAGAAAAAATTGGAAGTACTTCCTCCAAATTTATTGTCACTCATGTGCAACATCTTGTCTTACGCATATTCCTAAACATTTTGGGCAACTGTGTTTTCGGGCGCCCAAATAACCATCAAGTTAGAATAGAGGATGATGGTTTTCTTATGATGGCTGCTTTTCTTGGGTCTCCACGGTTGGACGCTGCATCTTTTATTTGGGCTCATTTAATTAAAATGATAACTGCTTCGGGTGATATCGTGGTTAGGGGTATTATCATGCATATTGTCTCAATGTTTGGCTATGAGGATATTTTACCGATCCACAAAGATTGTTTGCTTAATATTGATTTCCTACTAATTGCAAAAGACATCAAATTTAGGCATGGAGATCACAATGGAAAGAACTTTTAGGAGTGGTTCATTTACCCTAAGCCAGAACGATACTTTAGTATTCCCTCGGACGATCTACGCCTCATCACATTCAGCTCTTACCCAGAAGACGGGGGACACTTATGCCTAGCCCCGGCCATCCCACCCCACTAAGCCGCCTCGACAAATCAAGGCCAAGAAGAAGAAGAAGCAGCAGAACAACAACCACCCCCGCCCCCAATACGACCAGTTTCAGACACAGGTACTTGAGAACCAACGTGTTCTTATGGATGCGCTCCACAACCCGAACCTACAGGTCTACCAAATTGTAGAAGACAATCGCGGGGCTTTTGCACCCATATACGCTTATATGGGTATTTCTCTTCTAGGCCAACTGATAAGTCCGTATTTAGACACGCATTTGATGCGTGTTTGGGTCGGATTTTGATGATTTTTCTGGCTTTAAGGCGTTGTGAGTCTCAATTTTAGCTCAAATTGTGTTTAGCAGGCATTGGATCGAGTTTCATTGCATTTGGAGTTGATTTGAAGAAGTTGGAGTCCGACAATCGGCGCTTGAGAGGCATTCGGGAAGGATTTGAAGGCATTCGAGAAAGACTTGGAAGATTTGGAGGCCACCGGGAGATTCACGACGAAATTCTGGAGAAGAAAGAGCATTTGGATCGACCTCGTGGGCATTCGGGAGCATTCGGAGCAAGAAACGAAGAAAAACGATGAAGAAAAGGTCAGGCACGACCGTGCCTAAGGGAGGCACGATCGTGCCTGCATTCAGGATGAGACGCGAAGACACTGCCAGCCAGACACGATCGTGTCCGGGGCAGGCACGATCGTGTCTGCATCCGAAGCGCGCGTTTGTTCCGCAGGCACGGTCATAGGCACGATCGTGCCTGGCACCGT